GGGGGGGTGAAAGGGGGTGAAAGGGGGGAGGGGGAGAAGGGGGGAAGGGGGGAAAAAGGGGAAAAAAGGAGAAAAAGGGGAAAAAAGGGGAAACGGGGGGAAAGGGGAAAAAGGGGAAAAAAGGGGAAAAAGGGGGGGAAAGGGGAAAAAGGGGAAAGAGGGGAAAGGGGAAAAAGGGGAAAGGGGAAAAAGGGGAAAGGGGAAAGGGAAAGGGAAGGGAGAAGGGAAGGGAGAAGGGAAGGGAAGGGAAGGGAAGGAAGAAGGAAAGGAAGAAGGGAAGGGAAAAGAGGGTAATGTGAAGGCCTATAGGAAAACAGCAGAGAGAGAGAGAGAGAGAGAGAGAGAGAGAGAGAGAGAGAGATTGAGTGGGAATTTCCTTTTTTAAAGACTGTCTAGCTAATTGTGCAAGGAGTTTGAGTAGTTACATTATGCATAGACTATGTAAGGCTCAAAGCCCGGGGTTGCCAGGCAGTTTGTCTGAACACTGATGGTGCATGCAGGGCCTAGGATTTGGAGACACTAATCCCTGTGGCTAAACATTTTGTCTGAATGCTGACAACCAATGAGAGCCCTGGATGTGATGGAGATACCAACACCCTCCTGGTGCTCTTCCCTGCTCCCCCTCAACCCCCACCTCCATCCACCCCTCCCATGGGGAGTCAACAAAGCTTGAGAAAGGACCAAATCTCAATCTCATCTGCCCTTCCTCCCATCCTCCCTGCATCAAGGCTGTGCAATACCATATGGAATTGGCTCCCTATAGCTAGTTCATGCACCAGGTATAGATCCTGGTTCCAGTGCCTCGGGGATTCACAAACAGACCAGGCTGCATAACTCACAACAGTCACCCACATGCCGAGGGCCTAGTGTAGTCCCATGGAGGCTCCCCAGCTGCTACTCTAGAGTTCCTGAACTCCCACAAGCTCAGTTCAGCAGTCTTTGTGGATTTTGCTGTCATGACCAATGACCAATATTTTATCATTGACTTTCTATTTTTTATTTGATCAGTTGAGTGTTGCTTAAGTATCACTAGACCAATTTCTTGAACAATTAAAATGGCTGATACAAGTAAATTATACTTAATTGGAATCACTTTTTGCTTTTCTGGGTTTTGACGTGTTACATTTTGATAGTTTCAGCTAGATGTGAGTGTCATGTCCAGTCCATGAGGTCCCAAAAGACCATCAGTGAAATGCAAAAGCAAGGTATATTGTGTGTACAATGCAAGCCAGCAGGGACCTTGTCAGTGCAGCAGCAACAAGAAAAGGTACCCAGCCCTTCTAGAGGGCATTATTTAAATGTAAAACCAGAAAAATTACATTAGCACGTGTGTGCTGTCAGGTGATCCAATCAACAATGGTTTTAATGATTGGAATTTCCTTTGGATGGTCTGTTCCTGGGTGGTGCCTGGGTGATCTTAGTTTGTGGTCTTTATCTGAACCAGGTATTGCCTCAGGGTAAACTACTAAGACTTGGGCCTCTATTGAGCTTGTCACGGCTGAGTCCTACAGTGAGATGTTTATTTTATGTTTGGGACTTCACATTCATAAAAAGCTCCATGAAGATTCACTATATAACATGTACCTAGTATGTCAGAATGGCAAACATATTTGTTCAACGGACAATTTTCATTAAGTTTATATACAAAGAGATATTTTTAAATGAGTTATATTTGTTCTATTCCTGCTGTTACTGATTAAAGAAAAAAGAAAACAACTAGAGAAAGGGACACAGAGACAATTTAGAGCTTGGTTGTGTGTAGGTCTTGAGGTCTAGCTCAGGTGATCTAGTTCAACAGCCTGATTTTCAGAAAGTTGGACAAGGCACATGTTTGACTCTCATGGTTTCCCTATACAGACAGTGCAGCTGGAGGTCAGACAGAAGGAAAGCTGCGAATGGGAAAGAAAAGCAAGCCGAAAACAGTGACAGGGACAGAGAAGGGGAAAATGGGATCCCAGCCACCTGCATTCCAGTTTCAACACTGTTAGTCATGAGTGCACCATCCACTAGTAAAAAAATTAGTATGTTATCCTTAATAGTCTTCTATGAGTAGTAGTTTTATATTTCATTATGTTTTGAAGGACAGATTTTCTAATATTTATCATTTTGTTTACTAGCATTTTTGGCTACTGTACCAACTAGCTTTCCCCCACCCATTTTATTTTATTTTACTTATTTTATTGTATTTTTCAAGGTATGACCATATGCTACTCTTAGAGACTTTTTTTGACTGGACCCAACAGGAAACGCTCTCACTGAGGATAGCCTAAGTCTCCGGGCAGTCTGTTCCTGGCATTTTTGTTTGGTTTCCTTCATTCTCTTGACCAAAAATCTAGCAAATTTTGCACACTTCTCTTTTCTTGTGTGTATTGCCTTTTAGGAGGAATACATGAATGTTTGGGTTGCAGGACACATGGAGTAAAATGATCCTAAATATTGGTTGCTTTGGTCCTGGACTTCTTACTTTCTTTGTTTTGGGGACTTTCTGACAATATATTGGGGTACGTCATCTCCTTTAGAGAAGTTAAAAAATTTTGAATTCCACTGGCTTTTTGGGGTCCTAACAACTGAGGCACAGTAGTATCAGTTCATCCAGGAAAGGAATATCTTTCTCTTCTTTTTTCTCTCGAATAGCCAAGTTGAAAACATTCAGATTGGCATCCACAATGCATCTGCAAACAGAGTCATACTTCCTCTCTCCAGTTCTCTTTGGCCTTTAACAAGAGTGACCTGTACTCAACAGCAGGCACATTCCAACATGGGGTCAGGACACCTTGTTTCATGGGAAAACCTTGCTTGTTGCTTAGAAGTTGTTCATCTGATTCAGAACACAGCTCTTCTACCCTTTATCCAGACCACCAGCAACTATTCCTGTGGTCATTCCTCGGAAGCACCATCAAAGAGTCTCTTTTAGTCTTCAAACACAGAATTCCTAATCACATGCATTTCCAAAATGTTCCCATTGTTTTACTAAGTTTTATATTTGTACCCCAAATTCTGCCACTATGCCATTATTTTTGTCTTACAGCAACTAATTTATTTTAGTTTTATCTGTTTTTTCCCATGATTTCTCCTCTTGATATGTAATTACATATTTCAAATTTTTATACCTAGGTTATCTATCTATCTATCTATCTATCTATCTATCTATCTATCTATCTAT